CAGTCACACAGTAAAGTGTCTCAGTGTCATGTCCCCTGTTCTTTGACCTTTGTCCATTCCCTCCTCTGGCCCTCCATCCCCATCACCATGGAACTTATTTCTGCAGCTCTGTTTAAGCTTCCTCCACAATGCCAGGCCCATGGCGTTTGCAGCCATGCCCCTATGAGCCCAGCCCCTTCCCTGCATCAGTTCTCTGCTTCTCTTGGTCCCCATCCCCTGGCAGCATCCAACCCCACTGGGAAGAGCCACAAAAGATCTCCTCCCTCCGTGACCTTTTTTTTTGGTGGGGTGGGGGTGGGGGCTGGCCCTTATCAGGAAGCCCAGCAAAGCCAGGAGTCAAGGCTGCAGCCACACACAAGCAGTCTGGCATTATCCTTTGATTTTGGCCGATGGAGCCTGGGGGAGGAGACCGGGGGTCTTGCCGCCTCTTCCAGTAAAGTCACATTTTCTATAGAGATGACCTTGTGCTGCTGAGTATGAAAAGAGAAACATAGCTGACTTTCACTGGAGAGAAATGTTGAGCTTGCAGGCGCTGGGGGCGGATGCAGTCTCCTCCTCCTTTGGGGCAGTGGCTGGGACACTGCCCCTGCAAGCTCTGCCTCACCTGCCTGTGCAGGTCCCTGATGAGGTTTTGTCCCTCCTGCTGTCACCAGCCTTTCTGGGCATCAGCAGGGCACTGGGGGCTGCTGGTGTTTCTGGTTGTGTGCCAGGCCTGAGGGCACAGGGATAAAGCAGAGTAGCCTTGGGGTTATGTGCACTATGGGGGCGGGTGTGATACAGAGTGACAGCCCTCTGACAGCCAGGACAGTGGCAGTGCTAGGCACACACACACACAGGAAATGGCAGGGATGAATGAGTGAGACGCCCAGAGGAGGCCAGAAGAGGAAGATGTTGGGGCGGGGCTGTGTAGGACCAGGCCCAGGCAAGAAGCAGCAGGGCTCACCCTGGGAAGGGCATATCTTGGGAGAACTGAGGTATGCATGCCAAGAGAGTCGAGGTCATGGAGGAAGCTGAGGTGAGAGTGGAGGCCAGAGTAGATCTGAGGGGCCTCAGGGCCATCTGTGGGGTATGGCCACCTTCACTGAGTCCACATTGAAAGTGTACAGCTTTGGTCCAGGTATCTGGCCCTCATGGGCTAGGGGACCAGACCTGGGATTCTGGGAGTGAGCAAGAGCACTTTGGAGCTGGCTGAGATGGGCTGGACATCCCTCTGCTTCTGGGTAGCACAGTTTAAAGGGAGTAAAGCACAAAGTTCCTTGAGTACTTGTGCTAGCTGCCACACCACAAGTGCTCCCTAACAATTGTACCCATTTCCTCTTCTGTCCTCAACCTCAGATCTCGCCACCTGCCCCCACTGTCTGCAGGGAGGTGCAGGCTACCCTATACCCCATGGCTCTGAAGGTAGCCAGGGCTGGGACCCCATAGAGCCAGCCTCCTGCCATCCATCCTGCCACACCAGTCTCCTCGCCTCAGCTGCCATCTCTGCCATCTGGTGGCCATGTCTAGGCCCCACTGTGTCTCGTTTCCCTGGAGCTTAGAGTATTGGTCACCAAACCCTAGGCTCTGCCTGCTGCTGTGGAAAGCAGTTCCTGGGTTGTCCTGGGAGAACCAGTCGGTGCAGAGGAGGAAGTCGGAGCCACAGCGTGACCTGGGTGGAAATGGAGCAGAGAGTGCAGGGCATCCTGGCTTGGACTTTTGCTCTCCTTGGAGAGAAATAATTGAAACCTTTCATTCATGCTCCATTTTGGAGCCACGTGGCATCTGGCCCTGAGCCGGGCAGCAGCAGCCGGCGCACGGAGAGCCAGCCCTGGGCCCGGTTAGAACCGGTTGTCCCGTTTGCATGACAAAAAGGGGTGGCATGTGGGGCCCAGGTGCCACATGCCCAGGGTCACAGGCCTCTGGCTGTCATGGGAAGATGATAGGAACCAGACCCCTGATGAGTCCATCCCACCCTCCCCCGCCTCCCCACGCCAGCTTCCTTCTTAGAGCAGCTGGAGCAGCCTGGCCGCCTTGTGCCGGGAGAGCTTTGTTCTGCAGACAGGACTTCCTCTTCTCCCACTGGGAAGGGGAGGGTGGGAGCTGGGCTGCGATGGGAACAGTTACCACGGAGACAGTCGGTCCATACAGGGGGGGCGGCCAGCCGCGGGGAATCACGGGAGGCCGCAGTGCCGTCCGATCCCTGCCAGATGTTGCAGAGTTCTCCAGCTCACGGGACAGACACTGCTGAGGTGGAGTCGGGGCATCTGGCAGTACTTTTAGTGTCCCAGGCCCACTCTTGAGAATGGACAGGGCTGAACTTCCTGCCGCCTGGGCCCCGGATCTCCATGTGACCTCCCCTTTCCCTTAAGTGCTGGGGTTAAGAGAGAAGCCATGGGGTGCGCCTATTCATCTCCGCCGGACGAACTCCACCCAAGGTCAGTGCTGGCCTGCGTGCCTTGTGTGGCCTGGGCAGGGCCACTGTGAGAGGGCTCAGGCTCCCAGGACACAGCCAGGGCTGTGTTCACAGGCTGCATTTCCTGCTTCCTGGAAGCCAGGAAGGCCCTGCCGACCTCTGCCTGAAGGGCCTGGTGTGAACCATGTCTGGAGCTCTAGGCAGAGAAAAACCATGGCACAGCAACCTACGGCCTAGACCCCTAGGCAGAGCAGTTGGGCGCTGTTCCCCTGGGCCCATGCAGGCCTGAGAGTAGGCTGGTCACAAGCGGGGACTCAGCAGGACTGCTCTGACACAGGGTCCGCTTCTTCCCACATCTGCCCGATCCCCAGAAGGCAGCCTGAGTACAGCTGGGGAGGAGAGCCCCTCCTGTCCCACAGGCCAACGAGGGACATACCACTTCCTCCTGAGACGCTTGCTCTAGTGGCAGGAAGGGCACCTACCGTTGCTACACTGGGATGCCTCTAGCCAGGCCTGCCCAGGTGACTGCCAGAGTGACCAAGCCAGCCGGCCATCCCGGGGCAGTCAGAGCTGGGCCTGAGCCCCCAGTGGCTATATGGTTCTCATTTGGGGCCCTGGGCAGCCCCCCTTGGTCCTCCCCTCCCCCCATGGTTTCTTTTGGGAGCCATTTTCTTTCCCCATAGGCCTTTCTTCTGGGTATAACCACCTGCTCCTTTGTGCCCTATGCCAAGAGCCTTAGCACCTGCCAGCTGGTAGCCTGGGTATCTTCCAAATCACAAACTGACCCAAGCAGCTGCTTGCTTCTCTTTGGCTGCGGAGGTCAGACAGTCAATAGGGAATCATGCTCTGGAGAAGGTGCTGGTCTGCTTCAGGGCCACTGGGTGGCAGGACTAGTATTTGCTGCCAAGCCAACTGTGCCGTGTGCTTCTGCCCCTCCTGCAGTGATTCTCCTGGTGCCTGTCCTCCTCTAGCCAGAGGATGGGCTCTCAGAAGACCGAGGTAGGCATTCTGGTCTCTGCTCTCAGCCTGGCATGGAGCCTGGCCTACCCCGCCTGGGTGGCTCCCACTGCCTGTAGAAGAGGGAGGGCTCCGTGGCTCTATGACTCTGTGTGTGTGCATGTGTGTGTACATGTGTGTGCGTGTGCACACGCACCTGCGTGCACGTGAGCACGTACACACGCACACATGTATGCCAGTCCTGGGTCTTGAACTCAGGGCCTAGGCACTGTACCTCAGCTTTTTGCTCAGGGCTAGTGCTCTACCTCTTGCCACAGCTCCACTTAGGGCTTTTTGATGGTTAACTGGAGATAAGAATCTCACAGATTTTCCTGCCAAGACTGGCCTCAAACCTCCATCCTCAGCTCTCAGCCTCTTGAGTAACTGGGATTGTAGGCATGACCACCAGTGCCTGGCTGAGATGTGGCTTCTGTGAACATGTCTGTCCTTTGGCAAGAGACAAGAGTTGGTCTTGGATAGGAAGTGAGGAGGATCCATGGAGGCTTTCACCCACCAAACCCTCCACTGCTAATCACCCACGAAGCCAGGTGTGTGCTGATGGCTGGAGACACCCAGGGCCCCCCACAGTTATAAAACCCAGGCCTCTAGTGAAGGACTTAGATTCCACGGCAGAAAGCAGTGGTGTGCGTGGTGACCACCTGACCACAGAGCTGTGGCAGACAGGGTTGCTTGGAGTAGAGTATCTGTGGCTGGAGGGGTGGAGGATGGCAGCGGGGCCCCAGGAGCAGCGAGTCTGTACACACTCGTGGTGTGGTAGCCAATGTGACCAGTCTGGGGAGGCGGGGGAGTGCAAGAAGTGTTGCGTGCTCCTGAAGGGAGGTAAAGGCAGAGAAGTGGGAGTGCTGGGCTAGAATCCAGCCACATCTAAACAGGCTTCAGCAATTTCAGGGCACAGCAGGGCCCTGCATCATGCTGCTTCTCACAGCCATTCATAGGTGGCAGTGTGGCCAGGCACACAACATGGCGCATTGGCGGCAGTCTTCTACCACAGCACCCAACTTTCCCCAGGGCCACAGCTCTGTCCTGTGTGCACCATAGCCCCAGGCCCCTCACTGGGCCATGTCCTGGGCCACGCGGTGCATGTGCCTAGATGACTCACTTGACTATGTCAAGTTGAAAAATGTGACCCAGCCGGGCGCTGGTGGCTCACGCCTGTAATCCTAGCTACTCAGGAGGCTGGGATCTGAGGATCGCCGTTCAAAGCCAGCCTGGGCAGGAGAGACTGTGAGACTCCTATCTCCAATAAACCACCAGAAAACCGGAAGTGGCGCTGTAGCTCAAGTGGTAGAGCGCTCGCCTTGAGCTGAAGAGCTGAGGGACAGCACCCAGGCCCAGAGTTCAAGCCCCACGGCCAACAAAAAAAAAAAGAAAGAAAGAAAGAAAGAAAGAAAAATGTGACCCAGCCAGTAGGGCCTGTGGGATGGGAGGCCCAGGCAGCGTGGAAATGCTTCTACCAGTCACATGGGTGAGGGGCTCATGAGCCCCCATGGATCAGGGATGGGTGGGCTGTGCAAGTGTGGCTATCCAGGCCTGGACCCATGCTCACCCTGGGACACCTGCACCCATTCCTACTGTGCTCTCTGTGTTTCAGGACCTCCTCTGTCAAAGAAAGCAGCTTCGTGGAAAAGATGAAGAAAACAGTAAGTTGCGTAGCCCTGGTGGGTGAGGGGTAGATGGACGCCTCCCCCAACCTGAGCCCTGCAGCTCTGCTCTCCTCGCTTTGCTTGAATAAACTAAGGTCTAAGAATAAGCCCTTCCTCCTACCAAACTTTGGAGTTTGAAGTTTTAATTAAAAACAAAACAAAACAAAAAACTTACTGGGCATGGTAGCTTATACCCAGGCTGGAGAGATAGATAGAGGCCAGCCTGGCCTACATTGTGAGGCCCTGTCTCACAAAACAAAAATGGATACATTGGGAATTGATCCTGTGTGAGATACAGTATGGATCTGCTCTGCTTTTTCTCTCTGCTCACAGAGTGATGGGGTGGTCTGGCCTGGCTGGCAAATCTGCTGTTCTCTTCTCAGATTCCAGCACTCATTTGAATGCTCTGTCTTCAGCGATCTTAGTTTCCAGGAATTGTCCTGTATATGATTTTACATATATGTTGAGCTTTATTGATACAGTCTATCTGCCACACAAAGTATATGTGTGGGGGCTGGGAATGTGGCGCTTGCCTTGCATGCCTGAGGCCCTGGGTTCGATTCCCCAGCACCACATTAGCAAAAAGAAAAAAGCCGGAAGTGGCGCTATGGCTCAAGTGGTAGAGCACTAGCCTTGAGCTGAAGAGCTGAGGGACAGTGCCCAGGCCCAGAGTTCAGGCCCCATGACCAGACCCAAAAACAAACAAACAAAAAAAACAAGGTATATGCCGGGCACTGGTGGCTCACGCCTGTAATCCTAGCTACTCAGGAGGCTGAGATCTGAGGATCTCGGTTCAAAGCCAGCCTGGGCAGAAGAGACCGTGAGACTCTTATCTCCAATAAACCACCAGAAAACCGGAAGTGGCGCTGTAGCTCAAGTGGTAGAGCGCTCGCCTTGAGCTGAAGAGCTGAGGACCGCGCCCAAGCCCAGAGTTCAAGCCCCACGAATGAACAACAACAAAAAAAAAAACAAAGTATATGTGTGTATGTATTTTTTAAAAAAAATTTGTGACAGTTGTGGGGTTTGAATTCTGGGGCTGGACACTGTCCTGAGTTTCTTTCACTTAGGGCTATCGCTGTACCACTTGAGCCACAGCTCCACTTCTGCCTTTTTGGTGGATAATTGTAGATAAAAGTCTCACAGACTTCCTTGCTAGAGCTGGCTTTAAACTACAATCCTCAGACCTTAGCCTCCTGAGTAGCTAGGATTACAGGCGTGAGCCACTCATGCCTAGCCAGAGTGTCTACTCTAAAGTAATCACAACATTTTCAGCTGTCATAATCACTTATTTTCCTGGCACTGGTGTGGAGCCCAGGGCTTGTGCGTGCTAGGCGATTGTTGCACCTGGTTGTGTGACGTGCTGTCCTCAGCACCTGACCCTGAGCCAGCCCCAGGGGAAACACAAAGTCTGAGCACGTGCAGACTGTTTAGTTTGTATTCCCTAAACAATACCAGAGTTATTTATTTACCTCATATGTACATTGAGCCAGCTATATAAGTGATTGAGGTCACAGGATGCTGTGTGTAGGCGCAGCAAATAGTGTACCATTCATATTTCTGTGGGTGGTTGCAGCAGTCCTCGAACCCACCCCCACCAGGACTGAGGAGTAGATCATTCACTCTCTTGATCCAGACACATAGGAATACAAGATACAAGTATCCCCAGTGGCTCAGGGGACTGAAATCTGAGAACCATTCATGGTTTGAAGCTAGCCTGGGCAGACAAATCCCAGATACTCGTACCTCCAGTTAAGTAGCAGAAAGCCAGTAGAAGTGGGACTCACTCAAGTGGTAGAAAACCAGATATGAGCAAAAATGTGAAGGAAGAGAGCTAGGCCCTGAGTCCAAGGCTCAGTGCTGGCACAACAACAGACTTCTTGGTTACTTTCCAGAGTTTTACTTAACATCATACTGTGCTTTTCACACATCATTAAACCACGTCAGGCTAGGTACTGGTAGCTCCTGCCTGTAATCCAGCTACTCAGGAAGATGTGAGAGCTGAGGATCACAATTCAAAGCCAGCCTAGGCAGGAAAGTCCATGAGACTCTAATTAACTGGCAAAAAAAGCTGAAAGTGGAGCTGTGGCTCAAGTGCTAAAGCACTAGCCTTGAGCACAAAAACTCAGGGATGGTGCCCAGGCCCTGATTCAAGCCCAGGGCTGGCACTAGCAGGCATGCGCACAAGCATCAGAAGAGCGATGGCTCCCACAGGAGTGTTTGGGGTGCGATTCATCCTCCCCCACCACGTAGCTGTAGTAGTGAGATGCCAGCCCAAGTGACTGGGGGCTGGGAGCTGGGAAGGAGAGGGGCACACTCCTCACTGACCTGCACATCTGCTCCCTAGGGAAGGAACATCGTTGTGTTCTACGGCTCCCAGACGGGAACCGCCGAGGAGTTTGCCAACCGGCTGTCCAAAGATGCCCACCGCTATGGGATGCGGGGCATGGCCGCGGACCCTGAGGAGTACGACCTGGTAAGCCCCCGGCAGCCCCTGCTGCATGGAGGCGGGCGTCGGACGCAGGCAGAGCCCCAGCCTGTGTGGAAGCTGGAGTGAGAGCAGGGTCAGGGGGCTCCGGGAGAGCTCAGCCCTGAGCTTACATCGCTGGGAAGGAGCCTCGCCGTCCCAGGCTCTTCCACTTACCCCCTGGCAGGAAGCTACCAGCTGGCCACCTGCCTGTTTCTGGCAGGGAGACTAGGATAGGCCAGCTGCCCCTCGTCCTCTCCTGTGTCCTTCTACTGGGGTCTTCATCCACCTCTCCCCTTCTCAAATGCCCAGGCTGAGCTGTGTCCCCATTGTCCTGAGGGGCGGGGCCGTTTTCCAGGGCCTGATGCAGAGTGACCATGTTCTGTTAGCCTTTGGCCGCCCTGCTCTGGCCTTCCCCAAGCTCTCGTGTTGGCTGTCCCTTTTGTAGAAAAGTGCCCATCCCACCAACCTGGCAGATAGCTCTGTCCTGTTTTGCCTGGCTCTACTCACCCCTCAGTGTACCTTTCACCACCCTTCCTCGGCCCAGCTGGCCTCCCTCACCAGCTGCCCCAAGGTCTGTGGTGGGCCTGGCTCCAGCAGGCATGGTCATGACAGGGGGGTGGCCCCTGTGTCTCCAGGCTGACCTGAGCAGCCTGCCAGAGATTGACAACTCGCTGGTAGTGTTCTGCATGGCCACATATGGCGAGGGCGACCCTACTGACAATGCCCAGGACTTCTACGACTGGCTCCAGGAGACAGACACGGACCTCAGCGGTGTCAAGTATGCGGTGAGTGGCCTCATGTCAGAGAGGAACCCTGCTCCTCACCCAGTTCTCTCAGACCCCAGGCCCCCAGCCCCAAGGAAGTTTCTCCCCAGCTGGCCACTGAGAATGTTTGCTGGAGACAGAAGGACAGAAAGGTGTGGCAGGGTGCAGTGCCCCCTGCGGGTCACTGGCGCCCACCCACCACAGGCCCTTCTGAGTGGCCAGCCCGAAGAGCACACCTCAGATCCACGCCCCTGCCCGCACAGGTGTTTGGCCTAGGAAACAAGACGTACGAGCACTTCAATGCCATGGGCAAGTACGTGGACCAGCGGCTGGAGCAGCTCGGCGCCCAGCGCATCTTTGAGCTGGGCATGGGCGATGATGATGGGAAGTAAGTACCATACCCCACATGAACAGGACCCCAGCCTGTACATGGGGTATGCCGGATCATAGGTCAGGGGCAAGAGGGCGCAGGAGCACAAACCCCACACCAGCAGAAATTCAGAGATGTGCCTCATCAACAAAGCCAGGCCTCCCCCAACCCCCCCGCCCCGCCATCCCTCACCCTCACCCCAGCACCTGGGACACACTATGTCCAGATCAGCCTCACACAAGCCCTGCGATGGTCCCAGATGCTCACGGACCTCTTTCCTGAGGTCTTGGTCCACACTACTGGGTAGGTCCTGAGGAGTGAGCCCTAGACACTGGGGAGTTGCTGGGGATTGGGGCCCAAGTGTGCCTCAACCCTGTCTGGTGCCAGACCTGCTCGTCATGTCCCTCCCCAGCTTGGAGGAGGACTTCATCACGTGGCGAGAGCAGTTCTGGCCAGCCGTGTGCGAGTTCTTTGGTGTGGAAGCCACTGGAGAGGAGTCCAGGTGAGTAGAGGTGGGACCTGGTCTGGGCAGCCCTGGGAACATGGTGGGGATAAGTGGCAGAAGCCAGGCGGGTCAGCCGGAAGCTGCCTGCCCCACGTGCCTGCCACAGGGTTCCCCTGCCATGGGGTATGCCTCAGTCCCTACGCCAGGCCAGTCCCTTCTCTTTGGACTGAGCCTCCAACCCCAACCTCTCTCTCCCCCTCCCCCAGTATTCGCCAGTATGAGCTTGTGGTCCACACGGACATGGACACCGCCAAGGTCTACACAGGCGAGATGGGCCGCCTGAAGAGCTATGAGAACCAGAAACCGTGAGTAGCAGCAGCACCTGTGATGTGTGCGTCATCTCAGGTGGCCTGTCCCCCAAGTGGGCAAGGGTGGCAGGACCCACACTTCTCATGTCCACTGCATGAGCACAGCTCAGAGCTTCCAGAGACTGGCATCCATGCCTGCTGGCCTTCAGGAGCCCCACCATGGCCAGCCTGGGACAGCAGCCCCTCGCAGCATGTCCTTTATCTGTCACCTTACTCTGGGCATACTTTGGTGCCCCCACCCACCCCTGGGTCTGGGGCAAAACCCCAGCAAACTTGGATCTAAGTCTAGGTTGGACTTTGGCACAAAGATTCCTTGCTTAGATTCTACCTCAAAACCATGACGTAGGGCTGGGAAGGTGGCTCAGTGGTAGAGCGCTTGTCTTGCATGCCTGAGGCCCTGGGTTCGATTCCTCAGCACCACATAAGCAGAAAAAGCCGGAAGTGGCGCTGTGGCTCAAGTGGTAGAACGCTAGCCTTGAGCTGAAGAGCTGAGGGACAGCGCCCAGGCCCAGAGTTCAGGCCCCACGACCGGACCCAAAAAACAACAACAACAACAAAAAAAAACCATGACGTACCTCCCATGAGCCCCGAAGTCCTGCCCAGAACCCTAGGTGCTGCCCACACTCTGGCTTGAGCCACCGCAGGCATTCTGGGACCTGAGTTAAGCCCACAAGCCTTCCTGGTCCAGAGCCGGTGTCTCAGCTATGTGGACTGTCAAGGACCCATGCAGCTTGGGGCCACCCTCAGCATCCCTAGTTGAGAATGGGGACTTAGGTCACCTAGTTCTGTCACATTGCTGTACTGGTTCACCCGGGAAAGCCCTTGCCATATTGGTGAGACCCAGAGAGTCCGGCCAGCTCTGGTCCCTGTGCTTTGTGTAACTAGACTGTCTCCTGTAGACAGGGAGAGAGTCAGACCAGAGCACTGGGGTCACAGACCTTCTTCCCCTTCCCTCCTGACCCCCCAGGCCCTTTGATGCCAAGAATCCATTCCTGGCTGCAGTCACCACCAACCGGAAGCTGAACCAGGGAACCGAACGGCACCTTATGCACCTGGAACTGGACATCTCAGATTCTAAGATCAGGTACCTGCTGCCCCTGCCCGCCTCCCTGCTCCACACCACTGTCTTCCACCCCTGACCTGTGCCTCCCTCAGGTACGAATCCGGGGATCATGTGGCTGTTTACCCGGCCAACGACTCTGCCCTCGTCAACCAGATCGGAGAGATCTTGGGCGCTGACCTGGACGTGGTCATGTCTCTCAACAACCTTGACGGTGAGTCCAGGGCTTGGCCACTAGTTGGGCCTGCAGTCCAGGTGGGCCTGCAGTACTTCCTCCAGGACTTCTTGGGTCTGGCTTTGTCCCTTATACCCCATCCCCTCGTACCTGTCATGGTGAAGGGACAGGATGCCTGAGGCCTAGAAGCAGAACTAGTCCTGTGCCTGTCAGGTGGGAGGCCAGCCACCCTGTATGGCTGGGGAAGAGGCTCGGCTCCCTCCCTGCTTCGGGCCTCCTGTGCCGGAGACAAATCAGCAACGCTTGCCGCCCACCAAGTACCCTCCAGGGTGCTTGGGTGCCAAGAAGCCCGACCTCATGTTCTAGTCCAGGGCAGGGCTAAGGAAAGAGGTGGTGCTTTCCGACCTTTGCACTGCTTGCCCAGGTCCCTCTGCGGCACCTTCCTGTCTGGCACCAAGCTATGCGTCTGGGGGGCCCCGCCTCCACGGTACCCCACCTGCTCCCTGGGGCTGCCCATCCCCAAATCCTACCTTCCTCCCTGCAGAGGAGTCCAACAAGAAGCACCCGTTCCCCTGCCCCACCACCTACCGCACGGCCCTCACCTACTACCTGGACATCACCAACCCCCCACGCACCAACGTGCTCTATGAGCTGGCACAGTATGCCTCGGAGCCCTCCGAGCAGGAGCACCTGCGCAAGATGGCCTCCTCCTCTGGCGATGGCAAGGTGAGCATCCTGTCCACGCCCTGCCCACACCTGTGCTCCACCCACTTCACGCCAATACCATGTAGATGTGTCCTACCCACGCTGCAGACATGCCCACACTGTGCCCAGCCTACCTCACACCCTGCCCATACCTACTGTAGGCACACCCACCACCCCCGGGCCTCTGCACACCACTCCAATGTAACACCTTGCCCAGCCCACCCCTCACATAGATACGCCCACAGCACCCCACCCCATCTCACCCCGCCTACCCCTCTTCTGGACATCTATGTCCCTGCAGGAGCTGTACCTGAGCTGGGTGGTGGAGGCCCGCAGGCACATCCTGGCCATCCTGCAGGACTACCCGTCCCTGCGGCCGCCCATTGACCACCTGTGTGAGCTGCTGCCGCGCCTCCAGGCCCGGTACTACTCCATTGCCTCCTCCTCCAAGGTGAGCGCTGCCTGGTGGTCTGGGGGAGGAGGTGGGCTGGGATAGGCCAGGACGGGGCTGGACAGCAGGAGCCCAGGACATGCCCACTCTCACTGCCCTTTCTCTAGGTTCACCCCAACTCTGTTCACATCTGTGCCGTGGCCGTGGAATATGAGGCCAAGTCAGGCCGTGTTAACAAAGGGGTGGCCACCAGCTGGCTGCGGTCCAAGGAGCCTGCCGGGGAGAACGGCCGCCGGGCCCTGGTGCCCATGTTTGTGCGCAAGTCCCAGTTCCGCCTGCCCTTCAAGTCCACCACGCCAGTCATCATGGTGGGCCCAGGCACCGGTGTAGCCCCCTTCATGGGCTTCATCCAGGAGCGTGCCTGGCTGCGGGAGCAGGGTGAGTGTGCAGGCCTGGGCACTGGGTGGGAGCAGATGGCCCCTTGGCCCCTCTGACCCACTGCTGCTGCCCAGGCAAGGAGGTGGGGGAGACACTGCTCTACTACGGCTGCCGCCGCTCAGATGAGGACTACCTGTACCGTGAGGAGCTGGCCCGCTTCCGTGAGGCCGGCGCGCTCTCGCAGCTCAATGTGGCCTTCTCCCGAGAGCAGGCGCACAAGGTGAGTGGGCCGCGCTGAGGGCTGGGTAAGGCGGGCTGTGAAGCTGCTACCCCTGACACCCCTTCCCCTCAGGTCTACGTCCAGCACCTGCTCAAGAGGGACCGGGAGCATCTGTGGAAGCTGATCCACGAGGGGGGTGCCCACATCTACGTCTGTGGGTGAGTGGGGGGCTGGCAGGCCATGTCTCCTAGGGCAACCCCTGCCCAGGGAAATGGCGGACCCATTCCCTTTCTGTCCCCAGGGATGCTCGGAACATGGCCAGGGATGTGCAGAACACCTTCTACGACATTGTGGCTGAGTTCGGGGCCATGGAGCACAGCCAGGCAGTGGACTACGTCAAGAAGCTCATGACCAAGGGCCGCTACTCCCTGGACGTGTGGAGCTAGAAGCCGACGTGCCTGCCCCACCCGCCATCCTCACTCCCTCTGCTGGCCTTGCCACAGGCAGGCCTAGCCACAGACTCCTTGGGTGAGCCTCAGGCAACCCGGCCGAGGGCCCTGCACTCGGGACACCCAGGCCCTCAGCAGTGTGCAGATGAGGCTGTCCTTGGCTGGGCGGGGGTCTGGCCCTGCCATATGATTTTTGAATGAGTGTAAATAATTTTAAATAACCTCTGGCCCTTAGAATAAAGTTCTGTTTTCTGTATGTGCCTGGTACTATTTGTGCGTCTCCAGGGCTCCCCTTACTGGGAGCCCAGGGAACCAGGAGCCCCAAGAATGTGTGCTGTGGGGGAGGCTGAGCCCTGCCCTTCCACAAGGATGACAGCAGCCATCAGGTGTCTGTGCGTCTTTATTGGAGCTGGTGCCTGGCTTCTGCAAGCCGGGATCAGGCTGAGGTCCTCCACAGAGCCCAGGGGCACAAGAACCCACCCACATAGGCAGAGCCCCTCTGAGCTAACAAACACATCCGGCTCATTCCTTTTTGCTTCCGTGCGGCTGGCTGTGGAACTTCTGGTGCACAACCCGCAGGGTGGTGAAGAAGTTGCCCAGGAAGAGGAGGAGGAAGGTGAGGCCGCACATGAGCACCTGTTGGAAGCCGGCATTAGGACGTGGTCAGGGTGCCCGTGTCCTCCCGGCCCTGCCCGGCTCACCTGCCACTCCTTGCACTGCGGGTCCCGAGCGAGGCTGAACAACGTCAGGGCGTTGAAGAGCTGCCAGAACTGTGCAGAAAGGGCTTTTGCTCAATGACCCTGTGCCCACTCAAGCCCTAGTCAGGGCAAAGCACGGACAAACAGGCACAGCATGGACAGGGGAACACCAGGCCAGACTTACATGTCCAAAGAAAAGGAAGGGGAGCAGGAAGGTGAGGCCCCGCCACATCCAGGACTGGAAGCCCTCTGTGGGGAAAAGGCCAGGCAGTGACCACGCCGTTCCCCAGCACATAGGCCCGGCGCACAGAAAACGGGCCTGGCGCACTCACCCACAGTGAGATCCATGGTGTGGCGCTCTCCCAGAGCACGCAGGCGGTACAGGCAGCCGCTCTGGTAGTAATACTGCAGGAACTGCACGAAATCTGGGGGCAGGGCAGGGGTGGCCTCAGCGCTGCGCTGCGTGCCTTTACTCCTGCACCCCTGCCCAGCCCAGCACCTCTGCACGCTCACTCTGGTATATGGAGAAGGACAGGAACTGGTTCCGGAACTTCTGGTACATGAGCCCTTCGGGCCTGAGAGGAAGGGAGGAGGTTTGGGGATACTGTCCTGCCCTGCCGGCCTCTCTCCACACAGGCGCCCCACACCCCCCCAGCACACTCACCACGTGAGCATGACGCCCGACAGGAACGTGGACACATAATGATGAAACACCCACCAGCCTTTGATCCTGGAGGAGGGAGCCACTGTCACCCCAATCCCCAGCAGGCCTGGGCTCAGCCCAGCGCCCGCCCTGCGTACCGGGAGCCATTGGTGATGAGGACGCTCTCACGGATGGTGAGCGTGCAGTAGTACCACACCAGCAGGAAGTTGAAGGCTGCGTCTGTCACCCTGGAGGGAGGCGTGGGTGGGTGCCAAGCTCAGGAGGGAGACAAGATGGGTGCTGGGCCCAGGAGGGGCGGGTCCCTAGAGGGGGCTGGGCAGGGCCTGGGAGGGGTGGGTTCAGCAGGGCCCACACCCACCTGGAGTTGAGCAGGAAGCGGCAGGTGAAGGAGGAGAGGATGAGGATGATGGTGAGGTAGAGCTTGAACTTCTCATACTCGTCTTTGTAGGCAAACCTGGGGTACAGCAGTGGGCTGGGCTGCCTGGAGGACCCTCCCTTCCCAGCACCCCTGCAGTGCACCGAGGGCGAGGGGCAAGGGGCGAGGGGCACAGGGCACAGCCCAGGACATACTTGGCCTGCTTGCTCAGGAGTGTCACGTTGACGTTGCCCAGAACCAGGCTGAGGTACAACCTAGGGGGTGGAAACAAGCTGAGGCACTGGTGCTGACCCCCACCCCAGAGCCAACCTGACCCCGGCACCCCACTGCTGACCTCAGCTCCTGCTGCCTCCCTGTGGCCTCACTGTGCTCGCCGGCCTCTCCCTAGCTCCCTGGCACTCTGGCCTCCCACTCGTCAGCCCCCACATCTATGTGCAGGGCTCTGGATTCTAAATGCACATCACCTCCGGCCAGGCGCCCCACACCCACGGCTGCACTGGTCCCAAGTGCCTGGCCTCTGCCTGAGAAACACCAGGGAGCCATGGCAGAGCTGGGGCCCAGCTCCCACCTGCTCCACTCCGACCATGTGGAGCCTCTTGCTCAGCCAGGCAAAGAAGTAACCAGCACACAGGACCACACAAGCCCAGTATAGGCCCAAGCTGCAGCCCCAACTTGGTCCCAGTAGGGCAGCTCAAATCCGCCACCACATCTTCCAGCCTGCACCTTCCTGCCTCTCCACCTCCACCCCCACTGCCCACAGACAGAAGTGACAGCCACATGCAGTGACACATGCACCTTGGTGAAAGCTGACCCCCCCCCCCCCGCTACCACTTCTAGTGACCTGTCCCCTTCCATACACAGTGGATTCTCCAGAGCTTCAGGGATGGCCCAGTGGCTCCAGCAGTAGAGCACCTGCTTAGCAAGCATGAGCCCTGAGCTCAAAACCCAGAACAGGGAGAGAATGGCCATCCAAACTGGGCTACTTCTCTACTTTTGCCTCATATAGTGTCCCCTTGCTCCCTTCCCCAAATGGTCGCCCCATCCCTGACCTCCAGAAGTAACCCCATCCCTCACAGTGCCCTCCGCCCTCATCTGACTGCCATTTGCAATTCTCCTCTGCTTAGGGACAGCCTTGGCCATTCTCCGAGCACATGGCATCTGCCCCCCTTGCCTGTTGTACCCAGCCAAGCTCTACCACCTGGTGCCACCTCTGGTCTCATCACCCCTCTCCCTGAGCTCTACTAGTACTGGGGGCATCTTATTGGAGCAGGGGGAAGAAGTTTCAGGGCCTCAACATTGCTAGGCAAGCACTCTACCATCTGAGCCACACCTCCAGTCCTTTTTGCTTACTTCTCAGATAGCATCTTGTGCTTTCTGCCTCTAGGTGGCCTCAGACCATGATTCTTCTACCTACATTTCCCAAGTAGCAGGGATTACAGATATAAACCATCATGCCCTGTGTTCTCTGAGATAGGGTGTTATTAGCTTTTCTGCCTGGGCTAATCACAATTTATCCATGTGTACCTCCTAAGCAGCTGAGATTATAGACATGTGCCAACACACTGGCCCCTGGTCACTACATTTTGTCCCATCTTCCAAGTCCCTCACTGCTCTTCCTTCCACTTCAGTCTGGCTCATTCTTCAGCCCTGAAGATGTGGAGCTTTCTCTGGCCTCCTGTGCAGGCTTGGATGGTCCTCACTGTGTCCTCCCTCCTCCCAAAGCCTCTGTCACTGTGAGCTGTCAGGACTGGACTATGCTGCTCAGAGGACACGGAACTCAATGACTCAGCCCTGCGCTTCAGACTGTTTCCCTGTCTATGACAGGAGTTGGGCTATGCACTCAGCTGTTTTTTGGTATGTTTGTTTGCCTATTTCTGTACTAGGGGCTTGAATGCAGCTTTTGTGGTCAAATCCAGTGCTCTACCACTTGAGCCACAGCTCCACTTCCTGCCTTTTGTTTTTGGTTGGTCGTGGGGCTTGAACTCTGGGCCTGAGTGCTGTCCCTCAGTGATCAGCTCAAGGCTAGCGCTCTACCACTTGAGCCACAGCGTCACTTCCCATTCTCTGGTGGTTTATTAGAGGTAAGAGTCTCATGGACTTCCCTGCCTAGGCTAGCTTTGAACCATGGTCCTGAGGAACTAGGATAACAGGTATGAACCACTGGTGTTCAGCTTAGGACCTCAAACTTATTTTTTTTGGGGGGGGGTCCGGTCGTGGGGTCTGAACTCTGGGCCTGGGCGCTGTCCCTCAGCTCTTCAGCTCAAGGCTAGCGCTCTACCACTTGAGCCACAGCGCCACTTCCAGCTTTTTTCTTTTTGCTTATGTGGTGCTGAGGAATCGAACCCAGGGCCTCATGCATGCAAGGCAAGAGCTCTACCACTGAGCCACCTTCCCAGCCCCCTCAAACTTTTTTTTTTTTTTTTTGCCAATCCTGGGGCTAAGCTCCTTTTGCTCAGAGCTACCACTCGATCTACAGTGCTATTTCTGGCTTTTTCTGTGATTATTTGGGGATAAGGGTCTCACAGATTTTCCTGCTTGGGCTGGTTTCAAACCGTGATCCTCAGATCTCAGTCTCTTAAGTAGCTAAGATTACAGGCAGGCGCCACTGGCACCCAGTTAAGAACTTCAAACATTTTAGACAAGCACTTTATCACTTGAGTCACACCCCAGCCCTTTTGCTTTAGTTAATTTTCAAATAGGTCTCACTTTTTCTGGGGGCCAACCTGGACCATGATCTTACTATTTATGCTTCCCACTTAGCTGGGATGACAGGTGAGAACCACCACACCTATCTTTTTATTAGCTGAGATAGGGGAATCTCATGAACTTTTTGCCCAGGCTGGCTCCAACAGCAATCCTCCCCATCTCAGACTACTGGGTAGCCAAGATTGTAAGTGTGAGCTAACAGGCATAGTAACCCATCCCCCACCTTTTATTTTTGTTAGATGTTGCTCAGGTAAGAGTCTTTACACATTTTTTTCTCAGGGCTGGCCTCAGATCATGATCCTTCTACCTATGCCTCCCTCTCTAGTAACTGGGATCACTGGTATGGCGCCACACCAGTCTACTTACCCATTCTTCTTGGGCAAATAGGCTTCCATGTCAAAGAAGAGGCCCTGGCGCTCCTTTATTTGATTCTCAAGCTCCTGCGCGGCCTCTGAGGCCTCTGACGGGAGGGCCGGTCTGCATCTGTAGGTGGGGCTGAAGTCAGTGCAGTCCTGCCCACCCCTTCAGTTCCACTTGAGGGCAGAAGCCAGGCTAGAAGAGTCCAGCCCAGTGGTGCCAGCTCCATCCCACCAGGCTCCTCCCCCCAGCCCGAGGGGTCTCACTTCTTCAGAACCAGGGCCAGCTCCTGGAGCCGCTTCTTCTGGCGTGTGATGGAGCTGGTGCAGTTGTTCTGCAGCTTGGTTAGCTCCTCCAGCTTCAGGCGGTACTGCCGGTGGGCCTCCTGGGGTAGAGGGAGAATGTGCCAGGGGCAGGCAGGCTGGCAGATGGCAGCTCCCCAGGCTGGAGAACTTGCTGAGCCTGCCAGAGACCTCCCTGAAGGTGCTCTGGCTCCAGGCAGACAAGGCATGGAGCTCAGGGGAGCTCAGGGCCCCTCATACTGCCCCATCTGAGTCTGCTGCTAGGCCCACGGGTCCACTTCTGGACAGAGCGGTTGCTGGAAGCCATACCTTGCTCTCCAATGGAGTGAGAACAGGGGGTAGTGGCTCAGGTCATCCAAGATCCCTTCTACTCCAGCATTCCTCAGGCTTCCTCCCAGGTTAAAGGTCATTGCCCCAAGTCCCCTCCCCTCCTTCACCATAGCACCTTTGGCCTGAGGGCATTCTGGGCACTTTGCCCTGGTGGGCCAATCTCCACCAGGCACAGCGTAGAGATGGGGCAAGGGGCAATACAGGCAGCGCAGCAGGGGCCTCATTCAGCTCAACAGTTCCATGTCTGGGCAGCCAGCTGCTCAGGCCTCCAGGGAGCAGTAATGGTAGCAGGCTGGGCAGGACAAGGGGGCAGCCATGGAAAGTCCAAGGGGCTGGAACCAGTCCAGGAGAGGCAAAGGTCTGACCCAGTCTCCAGCTGGCTTTGGCTCCGCTCTCTGGGTCTCGTTCCTCATGCCCAGGAGACTACCACACCCCCTGGCACTCCTGCATGTGGCACCTCTGCCATCACAGCCACCACCCTCTCCTGGGATGGTGACAGGAGTGTGTCCCCTGCGGGCTGGGGACAGAAGGGTCACCCGCAATTCCTCTCCAGACAATTCCCCGGGTCTCTACGGGCCGGCCCTGTCCACTCCCCAGGAGCCACACAGCCAGCCTGGCCCCCCGTTTTTCTCCCCCAGGGGTGCAGGCCCCTCTCCAGGCCCCGCTTCCCCTAATCCAGCCCGAGATGGCCCGAGGGAGGCCGACAGCGCCAGAAGGGACCCAAAACGCTGTGCCCGGCGGGCTCTGGCCCGGGCGGCGGCTCTCCAGGAGTGTCGGGGTCCGGGGTGAATCGAGGTGCAGAGTACAGGGTGGGCCATCGCGGGGGTCCCGCCGGGACGGGCAGGAGAACCGGGTCGTGCGCCCGGTGACACCGGACCCCGAGCTCTGACCTCAAGCCCGGCCCCTTGCCCCGGGGCTGGGCCGTGCCCCCGGTGACACCGTTCCTCGAGCCCGGCCACCTGCCCCAGGGACTGCCCGACCCTTGACCCCGAGCCGGAGACACACGGCTCGGGACCGCTGAGCGGCGGCAGCGGGAGCTCACCTGGATGCTCTGGAAGTCCCGCTGCAGATCCTCCCAGTCCTCCAGGCAGCTGCCCAGCGGACCCGGGGGCGGAGGCTGCATGGCTGCCACTCCACGGGCCGCAAGGCTCCCGAGTCCAGGACGGCGCCGAAACCCGGCCCGCCGAGGCGCCTCCGCCACCGCCCCCGTCGCTTCCGGGCTCGCGCCGCCGCCAACGGGAAAAGGCCCGGCGCAAGGCGCGCGCAGGCCCCGCCCCCAGAGACAGCCAATCAGAGCGCGAGGCGGGGCCAGCGCGCGGACCCAGGCGAGAGCGGCCGCGGCCCGGGGCTGTCCGGGGCTGTCCGGGGCTCTCCGCGGCGGGCGCTGGGCCCCAGGCCGAGGCGGCCTCCAGCCTGCCTCTGCGCTCCCTCCCAGGGGCGTGGGGAAGCGGTCCTGGGCTTCCCCTCTCTGCAGACTTCCTTTTTTAAACAGTTTTGCTGTGTTGCCCGGGCGGCTCGGAGCTCAGCATCCTCCTGCCTCAGCCTCCTGCGCCACCGCGTTGTTTTTTGTTTTTTTTTTTTTGTCGATGGTGGGCCTGAACTCTAGGCCTGGGCGCTGTCCCTCAGCTCTTCAGCTCAAGGCGAGCACTCTACCACTTGAGCCACAGCGCCACTTCCGGCTTTTTTCTGTTTATGTGCTGCTGAGGAATCGAACCCATGGCCTCTTGAATGTGAAACAAGCGCTCTACCACTGAGCCAAATTTCCCGCGTTTCTTTTTACAGCGTCCTCCATAGCCCTGTCCCGGGGCGCACCTCCACTCGCCGCCCTTCCTATAATAGGGCAGATTCCCCACCCTGTTCCTGCTCTGCACGGCTCAGGGGCTCTGCCCAGCCCAGCATTCCATCCACCCTTCCCCACAGAGCCTGGACTCTTTGGCCGCAGCTACCCTGGTGTGCATTCAACCCAGATTGCCCATATTGGGGGGAAGGGTCCTACCCCATGTCCTGTGCCAGCCTCACCAGGAGGTGGAGGGACCTCAAAACTAAACTCCCTGCCAATCTCTATCTGCCCCACCCCACGCGCCTTCTGGTTGTTCTGTGGAGATGCTGGTGTTCAGGAATTACGTTTAGGAAACAACTCCCTTTAAGATCTGAGGAGCCAGGCAGGCAATGGGGCTAATGCCTGTAATCCCAGCTACTCATGAGGGCTGAGGATTTCATTTGAAACCATTCTGTGCAGGAAAGTCCAGAAGACTTTTATCTCCCATTAACCACCAAAAGGTCAGAAGCAGAGCTGAGTGAAAATGCTCAGGGACAGCGCCCAGGCTCTAAATTCAAAACCCCAGTACTGGCACAAAAACAAAACACAACAAACAACAACCCTGAGGATTTCTAGAAACCTTGTGGGGGTAGTGGAGAGGGAATCCCTCTTGGTAAAACACCCCCAGACAATGAGTTGTGGGCAGGGAAAGGAAATTTGGCCTGTAGATCAAGGGCAAGGTCAGAGCACACAGCTTGGGAGGACAGAGCAAATACCCACATTCCTGGGCCAAGCACCCCAGCACTGCCCACTCTGTGTACAAACACAAGGCACCCCGTGTAGCAGCCTCCAAAGCTTCCAGGTCCTAGCAGTGTAGCAGCGGCCCCAGCCCGGGGCATCCCCAGGAATGCCTGTGCAGGTGGGTTTCTGCAGAGCCTGAACACCTGCACCTGTCACTCTAGATAAGGGCTTGTGAAAGAACGGAAAAATGGCCACAGGACACCCACAGAGACTTCACACAGCAAAAGCTCTTCTTCCATACCAACCCTGGACCTAGGCTGCCCAGAGTCTGCTGGCCCGCAGCCCCCAGCAGGGCACAGCCCTCAGAAGAACTCGGTGATGTCGGTGATGAAGACCCCCAGGATTGTACTCTCCCACTCCAGCAGCTGGCTCACCAGGCCCTGATTGGGCCTCATGGTGGGTTTGCACTGTTTGACATGGTTCCAGGACCTCTGTGAACACAGAAAAAAAAAGAGACTTCAGCACAGCTTGGGGTGAGGGGGGCTCAGGAGTATGGGGGAGAGAAAGGGGAAAAGGTGGGGAGGGCCTTGCCCGGGGTCCCCAGATGGCTGAAGGGCTAGGGACGGGAAGAGCCATAGCCTGGAGTGAAGTAAGGCAGAGCAGGGGGAGCTGACTGGGACATGGCTGCACCCCTATGCTGAACAGCCTCCATGACAAGAATCGGGAACAAAAGGATTCCAAATCAGAAAGAATAAAATTGTCACTGTTTGAAGATGACATGATTATGCATGTCCAAATTCCAAAGGATATGTAACATGTCAGAGCTAACACAGGAATTCAGCCAGGTTGCAGGATAACAGAATCAACACATTTCTTTTTTATTTTCTTTGCTAGTCCTGAGGCTTGAATCAAGGCCTGGGCTCTGTCCCTAAACCTCTCTGTGCTCAAGGCTAGAACTCTACCACTTGAGCCACAGCACCATTTCCGGCCTTTTCTGTTTATGTGGTACTGAGGAATAGAACTCAGGGCTCATGCATGCTAGACAAGCATTCTACCACCAAGCCACATTCCCAGCCCAGAATCAATGCATTTCTATATGCAAATGACAAACTGTCCACACAGAAACAAGTGAATTCATCCATTAAGATGCTATCAGAAGCCAGGCACCAGTGGCTCACATCTGTAATCCTAGCTACTCAGGAGGCTGAGATCTGAGGATCGCAGTTCAAAGCCAGCTCCGGCAGGAAAGTCTGTGAGACCTCGAATTAACCACCAGAAAACGGGAAGTGGCTGTGGCTCAAGTGGTAAACCACTCACCTTGAACTGAAATGCTCAGGACAGCACTTAGGCTCAGAGTTCAAGCCCCATGACTGACCCCCCCAAAAAAAAAGATTCTATCAAAAAGAATAAAAGGGGCTGGGAAGGCGGCTCAGTGGTAGAGCGCTTGCCTTGCATGCCTGAGGCCCTGGGTTCAATTCCTCAGCACCACATAAGCAAAAAGAAAAAAAAGCTGGAAGTGGC